TATATATATTGTTGTTTATTGCTGTTATGTGCCGTAGAGTCAACTGCAACTCAGCGACCCTCTATGTTCAACAGCCCTAAGCCCTACTCCTTCCTGTGCCAATCTCATTGTCTCCAACACACCTACCCCCATTACCCTAGTGACTGAATAAATCCATCTCATAGATGATCTTCCTCTCCTGCCTTGCCCCTCCACCGTCCCAAGCATGATGCCTCTCTCCAAGGACTGTCCTTGCCTCCAAGCAGAAGTCTGGTTTCACCCTCCAGGACGAACCTGTTTGTTTTCTTAGCAGTCCATGGTATATTCAATGCTCTGATCCAACACCACAGCTCAAAGGCATCCATTCTATCATCCCTAGTCATTGCCCAGCTCTCTGATGCATAGCAAATGATTGCAAAGACTGTGATCTGTATCAGGAGCACCTTAGTCTCCAGTCTGACATTGTTCTTCAATACTTTGGAGAAGTCTCTGACAGCGGACTTTGCCAATTTAATACGCCTTTTAATTACCTGGCTTCTAGTGCCAAGAGAGTGTTGTTTGCCAAGAAAACTAAAGCTGTTAACAATCTCAGTCTCTTCCCTATCTATCATGATGCTGCCAATTGGCCCAGTTGTGAGAATCTTTGTTTTCTTGATATTGAGCTTCAGACCACTTTGCAAATGTAAGACTTCATTCCTGTCCCTACTCTTAAAAGGTGATTGTTGATTACTGTCAAGTCGAGGTCCACTCATAGAAACTCTATGAACAAAAGATCTAATGCCTTTCCATGGCTATTGTTGTTTCTCATACTTCATTGAGTTTCCAAAGGCATGCCGTTTAGGAAGTGGATGCCACTCCTGCTTCCCAGCCTGTTTTACAACTGGGAGCTCCTCCAAACACTGTTCACAGTGGGAAAGCATTATGGTATTTGATATCCCCATGGCACAAAGTTCAGCATCACAACAAACCCAGGTTACTTCATACAGCACATTGACAAAGAGTGATGTGCAAAGTGTAAGAATATTCCTCCAGATAGAACAACACCAGTCTTATTTAGCAGTGGTTAAGTGTTGTTGAGTAGAATATGCCTCAAAGTAAGCTTTGCACAAAAGACCTGAACTCTGTTCTATAATTAACATCATTTCTATTCATTTATAAGAGAGTTTGTAGAGTTTCCAGAGGCATCTAGCTTAGGAAGGGGATGCCACTCCTGCTTCCGAACATGAATCTGGAAGCTCATCCGAATATTGTACATAATGGGTAACCATTATGGTATTTGACACAATATTTGTTCCAAGTATGGAACAGTGTTCAGCATCACAGCAACTCTAAATTGTTCAGTACAGCAAATAGACAAATAATTGCACGGTCTTTTAAAGAATATTCAGTCTAAAATTAACAAATATGGATTTTTAAAGCCACGCCCTCTAGCAGGCCTTCATCCTTAGTTTAAGGCTCAAGGGCCACCTGCTTTGGGGTGGAAAAAAAGAACAGTAACACACAGCAAACATGACCCCAGAAACCTCCCTTACTTGACTGCCATCCAGAGACTGCCATTGAGTTGCTAGCCAGTCAGCCAACTCCTAGAGTGGAGGGAGAGTCCAAGGCCCCAGGCCTGCCCACAGACCCATTCCCTCATTATAGATCTTAAACCCACACCCTTGAGCAGGCCTCCACCCTCAGTCTAAGGCTCAAGGGCCACCCACTTTTGAGGCAGAGGGAGAACAGTAACACACAACAAACACAACCCCAGAAACTTCCTTTATGTAACTGTCATCCAGAGACAGCCATCAAGATGCTAGCTAGCCAACAAACTCCTAGAGTGGAAGGAGACTCCGAGGCCCCAGGCCTCAAGATTACAGAAAAGAAAAAAGTTGCACACAAAGACATGAAGTAGGATTCACCAGGCATAAGCATCAGAACAGAAATAAGTGGTTTTACCAAAATACAGCAGCTTGAATTTTAAAAAGTACCAAATGGGGTGTTACTTTTCCAACCTACAGTGCCCTGGTGGTATAGTGTGTTAAGTAATGAACTGTTACCTGGACATTTCAAATCCACTAGTTTACTCAGATGGAGAAAGATGGACAGTTTCTTCCTATGAAAATTTATAGTCAGAACCATGATGGAGCGTCGCCATGAATTGGAATCCATGGCAGTGGGTTTTGGATTTTGTGTCACTTGCAAACTGCATGTCTTTAATCATCGTCTGCAATTTTAGGCCCTTAGTTTCTGTGTTTTTATAATGTTGGGGTTAGGGTAGCAATGGTTCAGAATCCTGGGTGCTCATCACAAGCCCCTGGAAAGCTTTAAAAAAGAAAGAAAATTCTGGCTCACATGATTCAGAAGAACTGGATTGAGGCCTGCACTTTTTTAAGATACTCCCAAAATGAGTCTTGATTATCAATCTAGTTTGGAACCATGGCTAGATCTGTAAATAATGAACCAGCTCTTAATACTGGGTTATTATAATCACTTTGTGCTCTCAAGTTGATTTCTAATCAAAGCGATCAAATACATGTATCCCTCTCTATGTGTGTGTCTGTGTGTATATGTATGACAGAGTCGACCTGCCCTATAGCATTCCCTAAATTATAATCTGTCCTCATGGCAATCACAGTCAAGAAATCAAGACATGTTGCATAGAGGAAATCTGTTGGCAAGAACCTCTTCCAAATTCTAAAAAACAGTTCGAAGACCGAGGTGTTTATGAACTTGGCCATAGTTTTTTCATCCACTTCCTATACTCTTGAAAGTTGGACAATGAATAAGGAAGACTGAAGAAGAATCAATGCCTATGGATTGTGGTGTTGGCAAAAAGTATTTAATACTCCATGGACTTCCAAAAGAACTAACAAATTTGTCTTGAAGGAAGTTCAGCTAGAGTGTGTCTTTGAGGCAAGCCTGGTAACAGTCTCGCTCACATTGGGCCTATTTCCAGGAGTCCTTGCAGAGAGACTTCCTACTGGGAAATGTACCGGGGTCAGTGAAGGAGAGGAGGCCCTTCAATGAGATGGATTGATACAGTGACTACTGCAGAGGACTTAAGCGTCACAGAGCTCATGAGGGTGGTGCAGGATAGGGCGAGTTTCATAACTGTTGTTTCTAGGGTTGCTATGAGTTATACTCCATTTGATAGCACTTAACAACAGTCTTTACTGTGGGACATTATCAGGCTTTTTGTGCAGAAGAGCTGCTGGTGGATTTAAATGTCAGACATTTTGGATAGGAGTTCAATGCTTTAACCATGGCATCACTAGATCTTTTGACTCTGATTTTTTAATTTTGTTTTAAGAAACAACAACAACAAACCTCTTCTGTCACGTCAGTTCTGACTCAGCACCCCTTCATCAGATTTCCAAGATTATAATTCTTTATGAGAGTGGGAGGAAACGGTCCTCTCTTTTCCTGTAGAATGGCTGGTGGTAGTTGTTACATGCCGTCATGTCAAAACTGACCCATAGCTGACCCTCCAGCAGGTTTTCAGAGGCAGTTGCCTATCCTTCTCCCACAGAGCTGCTAGAGGATTCAAACGGCATGATTTGGGGATTGCAGCTCAGATTCTTATCCCTAGCCCCCCAGAGCTCTCAGGTACTTCCTATTCATCTGAAAGGTGT